ATACACCATCCATAAGGAGTATGAATTTCATTAAGAGTTATAACTCAAACTCTCAATTAGTAGCAGTCAAGCACTCTCTTTTAGTGCATCAATGCCAATATTGACTTGTTATTACCCATATGAACCTACTTTATGAGATCTCCAATCACATAGGTCGGGTTAACATCTATATTGACAATATGTCGGCCTTAACTCTATCTCTTTTGAGGTTTGAAGAATTAATTTTCTTCCCACGAGTTTAGTCAGAGGATCAGCCAAATTTATCTCTGACTTCACATAATCAATGGAAATTATTCCATCTCTCAGCAGCTGTTTTATGACATCATGTCTCAATTTCATGTGTCTACTTTTACAATTATAAGATTTATTCTTTGCAATAGCTATTGCCGCTTGACAATCACAATGCATACACACAGGAGGCAATACGTCCTTTATTAAAGGGATATTAGCTAAGAAGTTTCTTAGCCACTCAGCCTCAGAACCAGCTAACTCCAGAGCTACAAACTCTGATTCCATAGTCGATCTAGCAATGATCGTCTGTTTAGCTTATTTCCACGATATTGCACCAACACCAAGGGTGAATGCATAACCACTAGTGGATTTTGTTTCATCTGAATCAGAGATCCAGTTTGCATCACTGTACCCTTCTAAAATAGAAGGAAATCCACTATATAGGATACCATAATTCATGGTTCCTCTCAAATATTTTATCAGTCTATCTAATGCAGACCAATGCTCTCTATTGGGATTATGAGTATATCTACTCAGTTTACACACAACATAGGCTATATCATGCCTTGCAAAATTTGTTAAATACATCACTCCCGGCCCAATAATCTGCGCATATTTAGACTGAGCAACTGGGTCACCATTATTCTTTTTCAACTGAGAGTTAGCATCAAAAGGAGTGCTCACAGATGTGACATTAAAGTATTCAAACTTCTTAAGAAGTCTCTCAACATAATGTTCTTGTGACAACATTATTCCATCTTCACTCCTTATAACTTTAACTCCCAATATTGTATTTACTTCACCCAGATCTTTCTTATCAAAATTAGCAGACAAAAATAATTTAGTACTTTGTACAATATTTAAATTTATACCAAATATAAGCATGTCATCAACATACAGACATATTATCACATAATCATTGTCTACCACTTTAGTAAAAACACATTTATCCACCTCAACTAAAGAAAAATCGTCTCTCAGTAAGACTTTTTCAAAATTCCCATACCATTGCTTAGGAGCTTGTTTAAGGCCATAAAGAGATTTAATTAATTTACAAACTTTATTTTCTTGTCCAGGAATGACACAGCCTTCAGGTTGAACAATATAAATTTCTTCTTCTAAATCACCATTTAGAAAAGCAGTTTTGACATCCATTTGGTGGATAAAAAGTTTATGAATTGAAGCTAAGGCAATTAAAACTCGAATAGAAGAAATTCTAGTCATTGGTGCAAATGTATCAAAATAATCTATATTTTGTTTTTGAGAAAATCCTTTTGCTACTAACCGAGCTTTATATTTATCTAAGGATCCATCAGGATTAAATTTCTTTTTGAAAATCCATTTACGCTTTGCACCAGGAGGTAAATCAGTTAAAATCCATGTATTATTTTTCTTAATAGAATCAATTTCAACTTTTATTGCCTCTTTCCAATATTTAGCATCTGAAGAAGATATAGCTTCAAAATAATTTGATGGTTCATTATCGACAAGAAAAGTTTGAAAATCATTTCCATATGAAAAATATCCTAGGCCTTTTGCTCCTTCTCAGTTCCTCATTAGAGGTAACTTTATTATTTATTTCAATAGGTGTATGAATTTTTTTTCAGACAGTGGATAAATATATTCAAAGAACTCAGCATTCTTTGTCTCAATTATAGTATTGCAATCAAGCACATCACTTTTTAAAACAAGAAATCTATATACAGCACTATGTTCAGTATATCCAATAAGCATACAATCAGCAGTTTTAGAACCTATTTTTCTCTTTTTAGGTTCAGGCAACAGAACTTTAGCAAGGCACCTCCACACTTTTAAATATTTCAAATTAGGTTTATAACCCCTCCACAATTTATACAGAGTTTTGCCAGTCCTTCTATGTGGTATTCTATTTGTAAGTGACATGCAGATAATATAGCTTCACCCCACAAATTATCAGGTGCATTAGAACTAACTAGCATAGAGTTCATCATCTTTTTCAATGTTCTATTTTTTCTTTCAGCTACCCCATTTGACTCAGGTGAATAAGGCGGAGTTACTTCATGAATAATTCCATTATTTTCACAAAATTCATTCAAAGATAAATATTCTCCACCTCTATCAGATCTAATTCTCTTGATTTTCTACTAAGTTAATTTTCAACCTCAGTTTTATAAGAAATAAAAGCATTAAAAGTATTATCTTTATTTCTAAGCAAATGCAACTTAGTATATCTAGAAAAATCATCAATAAAAGTCACATAATACCTTTTACCACCTCTAGTCATAGTCTGCTTTAAATCGCCTAAATCAGTGTGAATCAAGGATAATAATTCAGTTTCTCTATTTACAGAAAAACAAGTCTTTCTAGTACTTTTAGCTTCAGCACATATTTCACAGTTGTTAATATTACTTGAGTTTAAACCAGATATTAATCCTAGCGATTGAATTTTCTTTATATACGCGACATTAACATGTCCTAGTCTAGCATGCCACAAGGAAATTGACTCAACCATATAAGTAGAAGAAGATGCATTTTTATTGTTAGTATCAGAAATATTAAGCACAAATAAACCATGGTTACAATATCCATTGCCTACAAAAATATCATTTTTGGTCAATACGACCTCATTATTTTCAATTGAAACCTTCACTCCAACTTTTCCTTATAATCCCACTGAAACCAAATTGGTTTGGATATTAGGAACATGCAATACATCACTCAATGCTAGAGTTTTTCCAGATGTGAGTTTGAGAAGAATTCTTCTTTTCCCAAGAACACGAGTTGTTCTTGAGTCACCAAGATAAATAGTTTCTTCTCCTTCCTCAACTTGGGTGTAAGACAACAATTCATTTTTGTTTGCACAAATGTGCCTAGTAGCACCAGAGTCTATCACCCAATATCTCACATTGGCCACATTATTTATTTGGGAAATGATCGTAACGATTATATTATCCGCTTTAGTCAAATTTAATTTTGACTTAGCGAGATTGTCATTTATCCCAACTCTTCTCTTGCATTGAGGTGCATTTTTCTCATTGGATATGTAACCATGTCTATTCACATACCTGTGTTTTGACATTAGTGTCTGCCAAAGTTGTGGATGCAATAACGTATTTGCAACACCATGGATATCTGGCAGGGCAGCTGGAACAATAGCACTAGAGACAACACCAAAATTGGTAGCACCATCAAAAATTTCCGTAGTAGTATTACTTGCCATAGTTTCTTAGATTGTAGTAACTGAGAGCAAGAATTTCAATAATAACACTGCTTCAATATTATTTGTAAGCGGATATACGGATTGACTTGATTCGTGCTGGGCACTGTCCTAAGAAACTATTTCAGCAATGTGAAATATTTTCCCAGGATTAAACAAGCACATCTCTAATTTATTTAGAGGATACAGGAATCAACAAAATATTAAATTACAAACCCAGCTAGCTAGTAGGAAAAGTAAATAAGAAAGGAAACAACTAATATTTAATATTTGGAAACAAAGGAAGAAGAGAGGCGTGAAAGGAAAGGAGAGAAATGATGTTTTTGCTGTGTGAAATTGGCTTAAGGGAAGATCTTTTTATAAGCAAAAAAGCTTAAGGCTTTTCTTGCCATTTGTCAAGTATGATTGTCAAGACTTGCATGCATCTTGCCACATGGATAAACATTTGTCCACTTTTTTGAAAATATCACAACAGATGGAAGGAACGAAAAACTTGTATTATAAAAGGCTAATATTCTCCTCTCATTAAAAAAAAAAAAAAAAAAAGCTTTATATATTATTGTTAAGATTTACTAGTTGTTCTGAATTTCGGTGCAATCACTCTAAAGCTCATGATTGTTCTTTCTTCAATTATCTTTATTTTATTTTTTGTACTGTGTTATTTTCTTTTCTCAGATCAATTTAATTCACGGGTTTACAAATCACCATACAAATTCAATATATCTATTTGCGGATAAACATAACTTTTATGAGTATTCTAGTCATTTTAACACGAAAATATATATCAACACTTTCTGACCAAATACACTAACAGTTTCAACACTTGACACAACTACTTAGTTATAAAATCAATGTAGCAATTAAATACGAGTTTCAACATTTAATATTTATCAAATACTTTCTATTAGTTATGCCAAAAAGCCCATGTCACTAAAAGAGAAAATAAAAAATATCCAAGAAAAGAAATCTTTTGGAAACTCGACACTGTTACCTCATAGTGTCTACACCCAGAAAGTGAAAAACGATGGGAATCAAATCAGAATCTGGCCCACAGTTTCAGGGCACAAAGCATTTTCAATTTCAAGATTCCTCCAAACTACAGTTCTGAAAAAGTTTTTATCTTCTTTTTCTATAGTAATATAAATACTTAACGCTATCATGAAGTTGATTTTTTTCCTGCGCAAACCCGTCATCAATTTTTAGATGTCTCAAATAACTACATTTCAAATTAGTACATTAACTCTTCCAACTGGCATTTTTTTTAAAAAAAAATTTTTTTGTTGAATTACAACTTCTATCTATCTTGAGCATTTTCCTTATCATTTTTATTTAATTTAATATAGTAAAAAATGCAATGAAATGTTCCCAGAGAAGGAAAATAAAAGAAACCGGCAAAACTGGAATCAGATTCCACGTTGATTTCCTCCCCCAAAAAGGTACCGAAACCATCCATTTAGATTCCATGAATTTGCCACGTCACTATCTACTGCGGCCCGAAAGGACCACTTTCACACGAAAAGGCGTGTTGTCCACGCGACCACCACACGCCCCTATATAAATGCCGCTCCACCTTCAACTTTCTCAGCACTCAACAGCAGCAGCAACCAAAGAGTGAACCAATAAAACAATGCAATCTCTACAGCAAAAGGCTTCGGAATGGAGTGGGGTTGACCCGAATGATGCATTCGCCATTGATGAAACCAATCTCTTTGAAAAGCTTGGCCTTCAGACTTTCATCAATTTATCTACCAATTTCTATAACAGGTTCATCCTTTTACTATCCGAATAATGCTCAAAAGAAATGTTTTTGCTTGACGGGTTTTCAATTTCTTTACATGGGTATTCAAGAAAACGCCTTAAAGTTTGAGACTTTGATTGAATTGAATTAGTTAGTATTTTGAGTTGCGCTTTCTGTATTGTGTGCCTCTCTCTGCTTTTCTATTTTTTCTTGGATTGATGATGAAAGTCAGCATGGGTAATTTTTTACTGCTTAAAAAATTTAGCTATTTCTTTTCCTATTCGATGTGCATGGTTCCAAGCTTCTTTTTTTGGGGGGTTGGGGTTGGGGGTGGGGTGGGATTAGTAACGATTTGTGGATCTTTGATTATATGAATTCTTTCTTTTTTTTTGTTGTAAAGATTGATAACAGATGTCTGTGTTTATGGTTGTTATAGACTTATAGTTACACTTTCAAAAGAGTTGAGCTGTATTTGTCCTTGTTACATTTGCACAGTGCCAAGAGGTGTTGAGAGGATCCTAGAATTGTTGTATCTTTGTTGTATAAGCATCTTTCAATGTCAAGGAAACGATTTGGTGATACAAGTTACTGTGCATAATAAACTGGATTCTGGAATGCTGGATTTTTTATTTAGTTTACTTGTTTGGGATGAGGTTCTAGATTATTCTAATTAAGAGTTGTCTACTTTTTCTTCTCAAAAATGGTTTGCCCTGAAGACGTCTGGTTTTTGTTCTAGAAAATGATATAGGGTTTATAATGATGACTGATATTTTCATTAGTTTTTATTTGAACTACTTCTCTGTTATATTTGCATGGTTTCGGAAAGAAATATCTTCTATTTACTTGTTCAACATGGAGGGGAGGTAAAGTTATCCTATGTTGCGCGGACTCTCCAAATTGCTGCCACACCTGTGTCGGATTCTCCAAAAATGCACTACTTTGGAGGATCCGACATCCATCCAATGATAATTTTGGAGAGGCCGAGCAAAATAGCCTATAGGCCACGGGTCCAGCAGTGGAATCAGCGACTGACTGGTTGCATCATTGGTAGATTGCCTTCTTCACACCCCCTTGGGGTGCGGCCCTTCCTCGGACCCTGCGTGAATGCGGGATGCTTTGTGCACCGGGCTACCTTTTCTTTTCTTTTTTTACTTGTTGAACGTGAAGGTTGTTAACTGCCTTAAATGATAGAATTCTGCTTTTTATCTTCTCTGATGGTTTTACCCTTCATGAGGGAAGACATCTGACTCTTGTTTTTGGGACTGGAATTAGGGTCTATGATGATGAGGAAGAGTGGTTTCGTTCAATTTTCTCTAATTCAAGTAAAGAAGACGCCATTAGGAATCAATATGAGTTCTTTGTACAAAGAATGGGAGGGCCTCCTTTGTACTCACAGAGAAAAGGTAAGCAATGTTTCCCAAAGTCCTTATTTTATACCCAGCTTTGCTATTCTTATTCATACTCAATTTGCCAATGGTAGTTACTAATGCACTTTTACGGTGAACTCCGGTCTTGAGACGGTTAATCTACTTTCTATCATAACTTTCATATTGAACCTTTAAAATGTTATGAAGATTGGAAACACTAAAGTTAACCAGATAACTTCTTGATATCTTTTTGTCCAACATTTCTTTCTTTGATATTATATGTTTGATAATTCAATATTTCATTTATAAACACCAAGTCGGTGTCAAAATAATATGTACAAGCTGTGTAAGTGACTCCAACAGAGTCATCCACCATTGTCTATTAAATTTGCCAACTACGAATACAAAATAGTATCCTCTCCTTACACCAGACATGCAATTGAAATAAGGAGGATCTTTTGGTGCTTTGTATTCCTGAATGTCGGCGATCTTTCAGCAAATGGAAATTAGTTGCCATTTCAATTAGTTGAGCAATGGAGAAAGAAACTGCCAGCAAGGTAGCTTGAGAAATCCCATTTTGGAGAGTTTAGAGTGCCTTTGTCTTGTTTGTAAGTTTTTTGGTGTAAGATTTAGGATTTATTAACGGATGATCACTTTTTGGCCTTGAAATTATTTTGATGGCTTTCTCACATCATCTTGGCGTGTTAATATTGCTTGTGATTTTTCAAAGCAAAATATAACTAGGGAGAAAACAGACAGTAGTGATTCTTTCCTTCAGCATTAGAGCAGTTAAAACTGAAGAGTACTGTATGATATCATGAAAAGTTCCCGCTTAATGATGACATCACTGGAGTTCCAGCATAAGTTTTCACTTTTTGATTTACTGATGAAGTCGTTGACATAAAGGAAGTTTTCTTCGCTAGTCAATTCTCTTTCACAAAACTAGTAATTCCGATGCCATATCCAGCATTGGCAAGGTTAGGCTGTGGCTTGGAGGATAATTATCTATTTCTTTTTGGTTTCAATTTTAGAGTAAAGAAAGAAGCAGGTGGAAACTATTCTTTGAATCGGTAGAAACAGACGAAATCTTGTTTGTTGGAAACATGGGAAAATATTTAAGGAGGGTTTGGCCTAATAAAGCTCAGGTTGGCACTTCGTCTCGCTTAGGCAGCACTTTGCTACAAACACCAAGATGCTAAAATGTGACCTTAGGACGAAAATAAAGAGTAAATATAGTTTGCATAGCGATATATAAATTTCTTTTTTAGTAGAAATTTATAGATGAATGTGCTGGGATAGGAAATAAAAACTTAGTATAAATAGAGTTAAAAATTAAAATTTGCATCTTTCCATATGAACCAACAATTTTTAAAATGGCTTTTGAACTTGATGGATGTGGTTTTCACTTCATGTTTGCTTGATTGCATTTTTTTTTTTAAATTTCTTCCTCCACGTGACTCTTTTTGCTGTTTGCAATTAATTTTTGTATTCATCTACCCCTTTCTTCACTAAAAAGTGAACTTTAATTGTGCTTTGCTCTTGAAGCTCCAACAGAATGTTCTCCTACAATTTCGCCTTCAACTACTGTAGAAATAATGAGGTCAGGTTCTTGAGTCATATAACACACAACTAGTTTCTCCCTCTTTTATACAGTATCGCGATTCTTGCTGCTAACCAATGGCACCTCTCACCCATGTCCCAATTGTCTTTATTAGCTGGAAGATAGTAACTAGCTTTGATTGTCATCTCTACTAGTTTTCTCATTCTTGTTGTCTTAGATTAAAAGAAAAAAACATTGGCTATCACTCTTTCGAATAAAACAAGTTTTTTAGTCAGACATAGCTACTGCAAATCAACTGTTTACCCAATCAGTCATTAACACACTGCGTTCCATCTCCAAGATAGTGGCTTTGGAGAGATTTGCTAGATTAGTATGATTAATCTTTTATGCCTAAAAGATCTCCTCTGCCACTGTGATAGGCTTATTCATTGGTTGAAAGTTTTGGTCAGCAGTTTGTGTCATTTGGGTTTGAATGGATTATTCCACTTTTCTGCATCTGCCAAAACCGGAAAACTCTTCTCCTGCTTAACAAATGTTTTTGACTTTCGTGAACACGAGAAAAGTGAACTACTTTAAAAATTGATAAAATATCAAAAATGGAAAAGCTTCTTGGGACTGAGCTGTGACTCGTATATTTTACTTCTTTTGGGGGTGTACATGGAGGAGACAGATTAAACCTGTAATCTATGTCGCTATTGGACTTTGTTGAAATTAAGCATTCTCCTTGGGACAGTTTGGGTGTATATCAACAAATCAACCTCCAACTGCTTAGTGTTCATTCTAGTTCGGCTGATAGATATTTCAGGTTGAACAGCTAATTAACTCTTCAAACACGGATGGTTGTAAGATATTCTTTGGATGATTGGAGACAAGTTAGCTGGAAGTAGAATTTCATTTTCTCCTCTATAATATATTTTCAGTGGTATTATTTCACTTATGAGTTGTGCTTCATGTAGTTTGAGTAACTGTAAGGACCTTTCACACTTGGACTTTCTGCAGGGCATCCAGCGTTGATTGGTCGCCACCGTCCATTTCCAGTCACTCATAAGGCTGCAGAGAGATGGTTACACCATATGCAACTAGCACTGGACAGTGTTACAGACATTGATGAAGATTCCAAAACTAAAATGATGAACTTTTTCAGGTACAAGCTAATCCCATTGATCTTCCCTAAGTAAGTCTGCTTTTGCAGATAGTATGCATTTGTAAGAATTACATTTGTTTGCTTTTCAGGCACACGGCATTCTTTCTGGTAGCTGGAGATGAGTTGAAGAATCCAAACCAGGGTGTTGCATGCAAGCATGCTACCAACAAGCCAGCTGCAGCATAAACTTATACCAAAATTCATCAAAGAATTAACAATAATGTACACTGAATATTTTCCTTATGATCATTCAATCAATCAAATCTGAGAATCTATGATCTCAATTATTGAGCCTACATGTTTATGCTTTAATTTGTTATTGCTCCGGGGAGAAAGGTTGTAGATACACCGCTCTACAGTTCATTAATGTAGCAGGAAGAAACACGAAGCCATTCTCATGAGACTTGAAGGTAGTATTAGGTCATATATCCTCCTGGAAATCTCAATCCTGATTCCTGACTCTACAAACTGAAATCTTTGTTATTTATGAAGAGCAAGTTGTTTAAACAAAAACAATTGAATTTAACCAAGAAAAAAAACACAGAAGTCTTTATTTACAAGCACAAAAGCTTAATCTGTATCAAACTTCCAATTCACAATGATCAAGAAATTAAATCAAACATATTGTTTATTAAAGGACCAAAATATGACCCATAAATTCTTTCCTACGAGACATCATAGAGGGATGAGCATATCTAGCTGAAAATGACCTACAAAGATTATCAGGCTCTACTTTTTCTGACCCTTCATCAAAATTCTGCATATATGTTTCTGCATCATATACACAACCAGAAGAAGAAGAAGAAGAACAACTACTACTACTATTATTATTGAAGCTTTTTTTCTTGTGCATTTTGAGTCTCCTCCAAAAAGCTAGCCACCTTAGCTTGGTGATGAACAAGAAGAAGCACATAATGATTCTCTATGATTGTAATCTTTCCCAAGCCTAACACTTTTGCTTCTTGTTTTCTTCCAATTCCCTTTCCCAATTATCCTCATTTTTTCCTCAATAGCTTTGAGATTTCCATATTAATTCAACAAACCTTTGGCCTTTTATAGATTATATATTGGCAACTTTTGAGCCTCTCATGGGATGTTGATTCCCTTTGCCTTTTGATTTGACAAAACCAAATTAAACTAGCTAGTGGTGTGCGAGCATTCTTTAAAGATAAATTAACAGTGTATTATATCTAAAATTCTAAAAGGATATAACTTTTTTTTTTTTAGGTATACATACCATGTCAATCTTTTTAGGTATACAAAAGGATATTACTAACACATAGGTGGTTTAGATATTTCGTCTCAACATGTGACTGGTTAAGTATAACAAATGGATTAATATCATATACTGAAACGCAAAAACAAAAAAAAGAAGAAAGAGTGAGGTAATACAAAAGGATACAACTAACATATAGGTGGTTTAGATATTTCGTCTGATCACGTGGCGGTTAAGTATAACAAATGGATTCGTATCATCAACTGAAACGCAAAAGCAAAAAAGGAAGAAAGAATGAGGTAATACAAAAGGATATAACTAACATATAGGTGGTTTAGATATTTAGTAACAAATGGATTAGTATCATAGGTGCTTTAAGACATATAATAATAACTCTAATTATGAGATTATTTGTTAAAACTATCATTTATCTCTCAGTTATCATATCATTTAATTAATACTCCAATTTTTGTGACAATATGAATAGATTTTTAAGAAGTTAGTATTATTAAATAACTTTTTAATTTCTAAAACGTTAAGTATTTTAAAATAAATTCAGTTTGTCAAAACGACGAATATCTAGGACCCGATAACAAATACTAAACGAAAAATCAAAAAAGTAGATACACTTTATTCATTTACTGTTTAACATATATATATATATATATATATATTGCATCACACGAAACATGATGTAATTAAGATGGTCGAAGATTAGTCTGGCTGGTAGTCCACCTAGTTATTTTCATAAAAATTGCTTGGTAAGATGTCTTTTTATGAAATTACACAATTTGTCTAACTAGAAAAGTGATTGCAACATGCTATTGTATCTCAGACCAAAAGAATCATAATGGAGGAGCGAACTACAATTTCTTATTTTTGCAGCGCAAAAATAGAATTAATTGATGAATTAAGAGGGTTTCATGTGACTATTCCTTCCCTATTATTTATCATTATTTTTCTGCACTGTTGGGTCATTCCTAGAAAATTTCAACTAATAAATAAACAGTAAATGAATAAAGCGTATCTCACGCAATACTCACTTGATTTATGAGTACTCTTTTTAAAAGAAATTAAACAAACATGTTAATTTAAGTTGAAGCAAGATTTAAAGGATGCTACAAAACCAAGCTTATGCGTAGTGTCATGATTAGGAGCACCAACGTGGAAAGGTAATTAAGGACATTGAGCCCAAAGACTTCCTTCTTATTCAAATTTTTAACTCCACAACATTATCATATTATTTCTCTTAAGTTAGGACTAATCATTGCTAAATTTTTCCTTGAAACACTGGATATTGTTCTTCCACCCAAAATTATTGTAAAAACATCGGGGTGTTTACGCCGACACAATATATATATATATATATATATATATATATATATATATATATATTAACATGTAATCACTTGATGTGGATAAGTATTTGTTAACCTAACTGTGTTCACGATCAGAAAACCAGGAAAAACGTTAGATGAACAAACCAAAAACAAAAAAGAAAAGTTTACAGTGTCTAAAAAATGAGGCTAATTTTCTGTATTTATAGCCAACAAATTTGGGCCTCAACAGGTGCAAAGATGCGTGTTTATGGAAAAAGTATCGTTTGGCAGAAATTAAGTTGGTCGCGAATTTCATATTCTGAAACGACCGCCGGGAAAAAGGAAAATTAAATAACGAAAAAGGAATTTGCCAGCGACACAAGGCTTGTTCTCTTCTCAACTCTTTAAGAGCTACAAGAAGTATTTTTCTATATAAGCACAAGGATATTCTTTCCATTTTTCTAGGAATAAAGTCCCTTAGTAAAAAATGAGGTTTTTCAAGTTCCCTCCAATTTCTTTTCCTTTGGTTTCCTATTCACACCTTAACTCAAACCTAACAATATTTACCCCCAAAATTACCTCCTTCCTTTAATTTAAAAAAAAAAAAAATCTTATCACCTTGGAAACACAATAGACAAAGGAGATAGGTGTTGACTATCGGATGGTCTCGTTTGGTTGCTAGTTACACATCGTCCTATATATCGTGAAATAAGAAAACAAACGTAGAAGAAATACCTACATTTTGAGAATCCAAATGAACGGAGGGATCAAACACTCATATTAAGAAATTAGTAATAATCTTTAAAGAACAAGAAATTGTATCACAAAAAAGAAAAGAAAAAAGACGTAAATTATGCAGGACAGTTATTTCTTGTCATACTCGAATTGTTATCGCCTCAAATAGATGTTGATGAGTTAGATGTGTTGCTTTGCGGCTCTTTAGTTTCCATATTCACTCATAGAATGGTTGATCCTGATAGTCATCGGTAGTACAACGGTTACCCTAGAAATATTTCTAGTTATTCACACGACATTGACGTCGTCAAATGATGCAAGTCTTGAATAAAAATTTATAACACACTAGGATATTCTTGTTGACGATCCTTTACTTTGACAAAATCTGGAATTACTCAAATAATTATAATATCTCATACGGGATATATAAATTCTTAAACCTTCAACTCTTACTAAGACTGGCCAATACCGAGTAATGAAATTACGATGATTATTATTATTATTATTTCCTTTTTATGGAGAGTTGAATTAGTGGGACTCTCTACAACTTAGGAATTAGTTCTGTACTTTGTCATCAGATAGGTAAACATGTCAATTGGGACGAGCCAGCTCCAGCTTAATTGACAATATTGATCAAAGAACTCATGATAATGATGTATGTGTAACAACAACAACAACAACAACCCAGTAAAATTTCACTAGTGGGGTCTAGGGAGGGTAGTGTTTACGCAGACCTTACCCCTACCCCGAAGGAGTAGAGAGGCTGCTTCCGAAAGACCCTAAAATAAAAGACAATATGTGTAACAATGAATATTAAATCATATATCCTTCTGAAAATTTTAGAACCTAGTTCTGGATCTCATATACTTTTGTCCTCAAATGTGCCCCGAGTGACTACTTCTACACAACATTCTAATTAAAAATTTGGACACCTTACATTAATGGCTTGCGTCCATTTGAATTGCTTAATTAATGTAATTAATGCAGGAAAGTGGTGTAATATATTAGAAAGAAGGTAAAATGGATTGGCCAGAATGAAAGAATTAGTGGAAAACTCAAGCTTTTCAAGTTGTAGCATTGCTTTTTAGAGAACTAAATTAAATATATACTTAATCGTCATGAACAGCATTCTGATCAATTACTCTCAACTTGAAAACTTTGAACTACGATACCATGAAGTTACAATGGGGTTGATGGAACTAGTTACCACATGTTGGTTATTCAACAACATACTAGAAGAAAATCTTGACTTCACAAACATGAAATCTCATGATAAAGAGCTAGCAATTTAATTGAACAAAAAGACAACTTCATTCTAATTTTACTGTCACATTATTTTCTTATTAAACTATTCCAATAAGAATGTCAACTTTTTCTATTTGGAAACAATTTAATCTTAAACTCTTTTTTATGGTATGCTTTCAAAAAAATCTCATGGCATATTTAAGACTAAGTAAGTTGCAGTAGTCTTTTTTTCTTTCTCAAATTTTCGTGTTCAATCGAATTACTATATATATCTAAGAAGCACACTAATCACTTGCACAACTTACACTTGGACTATGGCATATATTAATAGGTGTTAAAACCTTGGATTTCATTTTTCTTGGGATATAGGGTTAAAGTGTATATAGCAAAAGTATAGGGGTGTACAAATTAGTTAAGAATGGTTAGTTTGTTAAAGTAGTTACTTGAAAGCTGTACAATAGCTGTCATTTAGTTAGTGGAGTATATATATTGCATAGCATGTAACGGAGCCTCTCAGACTTGAGCAATAATATTTCGATTCTTCTTCTTCATTCTCAATCTCCTTCCTCACAATCTTATCATGGTATCAGAGCGGGATTTGCTGGGACTATAATTCCGATAGAGTACTGGCGAGATTCAATTTTTCAGGCAGAAATACAAAGGCAAAAATAGAGCTGAGAAATTCTTCAATTTTGAGCTCAATTTCAAGGCAGCCATGGCAAACAACGAAGTCAGATCACTCGATCATAATCATCCGCTATTTTTGCAAGCTTCAGACGCT